TCAAAGGAATGCAATCCTTATTTGGTCTAGAAAAAAAGAAAAAGCAACTGTAGATGAAGTAACTAAGCTCTTAACATGAAAGGAAGTTTTATTGCCAGAGAGTATAACACTGGAGAACGCATGGCAAGATTTTTAAATGGATCTCATAAGAGCCCAGTACCTCCAAACATGACATTACTGGTGTTTAATAACGCCAGTAATTGTTCACTGTGTGCTGAGAGCACTGAATCACAACTACATATTCAACTAATTAACACCAAATCAAAATTCACCTGGCTGGACTAAAGTATAGCAAAACATTCAAGCTATCATCCAAAGCAAGAAGAATGAGCTATTCTCATCTCCACAGGCTAGATAATGCTATTTTTTTTTCAGCTACAATCCTCATTAGAGAAAGCTGAATATACTGAAAAAATTCAGAGACCAATTACCTTCAGAGCTTCTTCGTATTCCTCTGAAGAGAAAAGAGAAATATGTGAATGCTTCCTACATCAAATACATGTGAATTTAACATAGAGTATTTAAGAACTCTTACATCTAGGAATGTCTTCCATACCTTCCATAAATTATTTTAAAGTAGTGCTACTGAGGAGGTTGTTGTACATGCAGCACCAAGGAAACGCATGTAGCCTACAAACTTGAGACTTAACATTTGATTAACTCACTCATTAAAGAAAAAATACAGTTACAACGTACTATAAATTTTCTTCCACTGGGAAGAATTTGATACACAGCCATATACAGAATTCCAACAAGCAAGGTTTCTCAGCTGTTTCTCCCTAAGATAACAGCTGAAATCTATTAACAAGCCTGATTTTAGTTCAGTAAAGTAGCAGCTTACCTTTGCTATTTACAGACACCTGCAAAGAGAAATAATAATGAGTAACAGCCTGTTATTTTTTGTAGTTTTAGAAATTAACATGCTTTCAAAGTAAATGCACTTTTATTCAGTTTCCCAAGTATCTATCGCTCCTTCAGATTTTTGTTATTGCTTCAATGTTTAATTATTAACCAATGCTAAAGTGTTTTGGAGTCGACCATGTTCTTTATTAGGTCTGCACCATTAGCAAGGCCCCTGGCTCTGCTGGTACCCAGATTAAGCACAGTCTCATTGAGCAGAAGCCAATGCTGACATCACAAGGCTTGCTACACAGGTAAGCAGAGGTTGGACCCAGTTGCTGTTAATGCCAAGCATGCAGCACTTAAATTGTTCTTGATCACGAACAAGGCAACACAATCTACCACACGTGCTCATTTTTTTAAATCAAAATTTGCACAAAGAAGTTACTCATACAAGGAGTCATTTAATCACCACAGCATTACATAATTCTGATCATTATTTACTCTACTAGCACGTGAAAGATCTTGAACAGATACTCACATTAAACAAGTATACACATATGTGGACAAGGAGAGACATAATGGCTGGAAAATAAGGACAGAATCTTTCCCTGAAATGTTTCTGCAAACATCCTGACATTTCCTATTAGGATTTGTTTGTTTAGTTTAGTCCTCATCTCTGCAACTTAACTGAGTGGCAAATCAATCTGTGGAGCTCAGAGCGCTCAGCAATTGTGTTCTGTTTGACAGCTACATTCCAATCTAAATCTCTAGATAAGCAGAAGGAATGAGGTCAAAGTTATGCCAAGCAGGAAGTTACTCAACAAGGACAACTGGAAGTAACTTATTTGCCTTCTGAGTCAGTAATCTGCTTGCAGATTATAGCATTCACATTAAATAAGCAGGAGATTTAAGTACACCAGATCACTGAAGTAAACATATGCTAATGCCTGGGGATCCCAGAAGAATGAAGGTAGATTGAAGAGACACGGCTTTATCCTGGCTTCAGGCACAAGCAGTTACAAGTACCTTACTTTGACAAAAAAAAAAAAAAAAAAAACTAAAATAATTAAAAATTCATCAACAGAACTACCCATTCCTCAGAGCACAAAGCACTACCACCCGTTTCTGTTGAGTTATACTGGTGTGAAAAACAGAAGCAATAGCTTCTGTTTGAAATTAGGAATGCTACATTAAGAGTGAAACCAAGAGACTAAGGGCTTCTTTTTTTTCCTCAAAGGGACAAAGCTCACCACCTCTGAGCTGCAAAACATATGCTCCATAAGTACTGACTGCAAGAGGCAGAAAGGTTCACAGCAGTTGTATTTCAGAGGCGGGGGGGGGCAGTGTTATACCTCGTCATCATCCTCATCGATGTATTTTATCTGAATGTCATCCAGGTCAAATGAAACTTTAACCTGTAAGCAAAAGGAGAAAAACAAAAACAAACACAATGAGACAGGCCTCCAGCAGATTTCAGTCAATCATGGTTATTAACAGGAAAAAAAAGGGTTTATCTTTTCACCCTTCCTTCTCAGTTTCTCAACTGAAATAAATAGTTTTGCAACGTCTGTTTTTCTGAAGTACTCTTCCCAGTGCCTTCCCTGCACCCCACCTTTTACGAACTTGCCATAATGAAAAGCAGAAAGTCAATTACTTAGTGTTCCAACTTACCTAGTTAACATTTACCCAGCAAATCAAGACCACAAAATAGTCTCTTCATGATAAGGGGACTTGCTGAGGGTTAATGAACTCAGTCATGGAAAACACTGCAATTTACAGAGGTTAAAGCCAACAATCTTTGAACACTATCTTGTGCATTAAACAACACGTGGTACTGGCAAGCAGCCTTTCCTTCCCCCAAAAGATTTGAGTTTTGAGAAACTAGAATAAATGCAAACTAAGATGGGCAAAATATTAAATGCTACTAGTCCCTGGCAGATTCACTGTACACCTGAACATATAAACGCATTACACGCTTCCAAATAAGAACAACAAATCTGAACAGCTACTATATTGTATTAACAGGGCAGAATCCACAGTATTAAATCAACTGTAAACAAAAACAATTGTTACGTTGAGTAAGATTTTGAGGCTCACGTGCATTTTTTTTCCATACAAACTGCACTTTTCCTCCGAGACTGCTCTACTTGAGACCTATTCTGCCTGTCTGGTTCTAACAAAAGACTTCTAGCCATCTTGGAAGACAATAGGTGGATCACAGGACAGCCTCACAAGAACTACTTCTATTGCAGAATCTGTATGTGACTAGCATGTCCTTTCAGTGATACAGCCCAAATAAATTTTTGAAGTGCAACGAAAGAACAAACTAACTGTGAAGAAAATGCTGATTTAAACATATCTCTATGCCATAAATTATTTCCCCAAAACTTCAAGCTACAGCCATAAGTCTGCCTTTTTTAAACACTAAACATATATAATAATACAGTAAAAACACAGTTGTCAGTTTAGCTAGTACTACCACAAAACACCGCAAAGTGGAGAAGCACCCTTGGTTAGAGAAGTAACCCTAATACAATAGAGGCTCATGCCTCAACTAAGCACACTCATTCTTTGAATGCTGAGGATTAAAAGCAATCTGCTTCCAGCTTTGATGCAAGTAGAAACAAACCCACTCGAGCATTCCTACGCAGTCTACCCATCAACAACTACTGTAAGATTGAACTAACACCTCTTCTTGAAGGCTGAAATACAACTAGGAAAGCATCATACAGCTTAAGTTTTGAATTTGAGTAAGTCCCTCATGAAAAAATATCCCACTGCATATATTACATTAGCTTAAAGAGAATTAAAGAGAGAAAATAAAACACTGGTAAGATGCAACTTGGAGAACAAACTAAAAGCAAACAAATAAGAAAAACAAAAGGATTGTGACAGAATAAATAAGTAATAACACTGCCACTACATCATAACCAACAGAATCTTTATTGCACTGATTAAAATTCATCTAATAGAAGAGACTGCAGTAACTAGAACCAGAAATAAACATACGGCATATTAGCAACTAGATAAACCAGAGAACAAAATCAGGAAGACACTCTATAAGCAACAGGTGAGTATTACTGAACCTTGCCTACCTGAATGAACAAAACAATGGTTCATAAGCAAAACAAAGTGCGCTTTACAGCAGGATGGTAGTAAAACACCGTTTTATACATGTTACAGTTATACATGTTTTTCTACTCGATATTGTTATTTCCACACATCCACAATCGTGGATTACAACAACACACACACACACACACACACACACACACAAAAAAAAAAAAAAAAAAAAACACAACCCGTATGAAATTCTATTTAGAACAAGTGATTCCAGGTTATTTTAACTAGAAAACAAAGAGTAAAAGTCACTATCAACACTCAAACGAACAAAAAAACAGAGGCCACAGCAGATTGAAAAAATACCCGTTTTAATGCCCTATAAGATGAGCAAGTGCCGGAAGCCCAAAGAGAAGCGGCGCAGTGCTCACCATGGCCTCCACGTCGGCCCACGTCGTGTGCGCTGTGTCTGACACCAGGAAGCTCTGGGTTTCCCCGCGGTAGTTGACGCGAAGGTTCACTTGCGGCTCCATGCTCCTCGGGAGGCAAGGGAAGCCCTGTCAGGGAAGCCCTGTCAGGCAGCCCCAGCCCGCAGTCACCCACTGACCCAGATTTTGGGGGGAGAAGGGGGGGAACGGACAGGCAGTCGGGGCCCCCACTCACCGCCCACCACGGCTCTAGCAGTAGCTCACGTCGTAACAACCACCAGCACAGCACTAGAACCCCCTCCTCACCAGTTGCAACGGCCCTAACATGGCGGACCGGCTTAGGCAGGCTCCTTGTACTTCGCGCGATGTTATTGGCTCCCCGGCCTGCCTCTCATCCGCCTCGCCGCCCTGATTGGGCAGGTCGGGCGGAACCAGGGGCACTAGAACTACAACAATAAACACAGCCAGGGAGGCCGGAAGTAAGTAGGTGGGCACCGTGCCATCAGGCATGCATTTCCGGGACTCCTACCATGCCATTCCTCTTCCGGGAGCGGGGCCATCCAGTAGAACCAATCAAACATGTTCTTTTCTGTCCTGCCTCATTGTGGCCGGATAGGGAGTCGCACGCGCCAGAAAAGGAGCGAATAGGATGGTGCCTCTCGGGCCACGTGATATAAACTGGGCGCAGGATTGGCTTTTTAGTGCGCCGGTTTCTGTCTTGACGGAAAGGGCGCGAAACGTGACATGGTAGAAGTGAGCGGGTTAGTGGAGCTGGGCCTGTTTTGGTCTTTTCTGCTGTAGGGCCCTGAGATGCTGCTGCACGATGGCTGAAACGTTTGGTTTGGTTGGTTTTTTTTTTTTTTTTTTTTTTTTTTTTTTTCCTCATAGGGTGGGCCGCACGGTGTGTGGTGACCTCTACTCTCCCGGTCGGTGTTGACGGTCCCCGGGGTCCCTTAGGTAAGTGCTCTTGCTGCCTCCTCTGTGTCTGCATCTGCCTTGAAAGCTCCTTCAGCTCGCAGACGTGCTTGTGGGCTCGCTTGCTGAATTTCTGCTGAATGCTGTTCCTGTCAGCCTGATTTGGCTAGCCTTGGGCTGTGAGGCAGAATGGATTTTAACTGAATGCGCAGAGTAAGCCTTGCTCAAAAAAGAATCGTGAAATGGTTGGGTTGGAAGGGACTTTGCAGCCCCTGCCAAACTTACCCCAAATCAGGCTGCTCAGGGTCCCATCCAGCCTGCCCTTGGACACCTCCAGGGACACCCACACTGCTCTGGGCAGTAGTGCCAGGACCTCACCACCTCTGAGTAAAGAATTTCTTCCTCACATCTGACCTAAATCTTTCCTTTTAATATTAAATCATTCTGTCTTGTCCTTTCCTACCTCTCCACATAAGAAGTCTATCTCTTTCCTGCCTGTAAGCACCCTTAGAGTACTGGAAGGCCACAGTGAGGTTTCCTTGCAGCCTTCTCTTCTCCAGGCTGACCAAGCCCAGCTCCTTTGGCACGTATTTGTAGGAGAGATGCTTAAGACTCCAGGTATCCTTATGGCCTTCTCTAGATCTGCTCCCCTCAAACCATGTCTTGTTCTGGGATCCCCAAGCCTGGATGCAGTGCTGCTGATGTGGCCTCACGAGGACAGCATAGAGGAGGACAGTCCCTTCCCTTACCTACCCTATGTTGATGCAGCCCAGGATACAGTTGGCCTATGTCATTTCATGTATCTTGGGAAAGCTACATGGAAGAAAGCATGATCATTGAATGCAACAGATCTGAAACAATACTTTCTGTTTGTCTGTAGAGTGTTTTGGTGTCTGAAGGATGGACTTGTCAGTGATTGCCATTGGAGATGTGCAAAATGTGCTTTCAGCCATGCAGAAGAACTTGGAGTGTCCAGTCTGGTAGACATTAAAATAATTAACATGCTCTTTATTTTTCTCTTCTGTTCAAACATTTTGTCATTACCATGGTCATGAGAAAACACAAAGAATAGTGTTATTAAAACAAAATACATTGATAAGTAAGAGTAAATTTGTGACAGGAGGTACATTTTGTTCCTGTGTTCCAGTAAATATTTCTTATATATTGCAACCTAAAAGTATCAGTGCTCTATCCAGGCGGGGGAAAAAATTAGCTGATTAAAGCATTGTTTGCATGCTAGCCTGGATATTTGTCATTTGTTTCTAAAAGTTAAACACAGTTCATAGTTTTTTAAATGCAGAGAAATACTAAAATGGCACAGGTTTCAGTTCAAGCCTAGCTATTTAGGATGCATGATAGTCCTTTAAAAGACTTGCATCTGTTGAACCAAAATGCTTAAGTTTATTTTGTCTGTGGTGGAAAATGTTTTTAAATCCTTTAATCGTTCTAGATGCATTTAACATTTGCAGAAGCAATTTGGTTCTCAAATGGGAAATGATCAAATCTGGTATATTTCTCTTTACCATTGTGTTTTTTTTTTTTTAAAGTCCTCAAAAATGATTGTATTTCTGAATTTTGTACTGTTGCTATTTTTAAGCAAGAACACAGAAGTTACGTTTTTCTTTTTCCTTTTTCTTTCTACAGTTTGGATGTAATAAAAGAGCCAGTCTCAACAAAATGTGATCACATATTCTGCAGGTAGGTTTGCAAACTTAAAATCACAGTGCCTAGTGAACCTGTTCTTATTCTCTACGTATGCTTCTCTTCACTGCTATTGATGTATATTGTGTTTTGATTACCCGGTCTATAGCTTCTAAAGTGGAAAAGTCCATTCTGAAATAACTGCAGATGTACAGATATGTCAAAGTGGATCAATGAATTCATCTTAACATTAGAACAAGAATAGAGGAATTCATTGTAATAATGAAGAATATCTACTAAGTGGTACATTGTGATTATTCTTTTCTCTAGGTTTTGCATGTTTAAACTCCTCAGCAAAAAGAAAAAGGGTGTAATACAGTGTCCTCTGTGTAAGACTGAAGTTACCAAGAGGTAATGCATCTTTGCAAGTGCACTTGGGGATAAGAAGTTTTCTCTAAGATGAATTATTGCCTCGTAGCAGAAATGCTAAGTCACTGTTTGAGACAGTAAGTGCTACTAAGTATAGGTAGTATTATTCTTCAGTCATTATAACTAGTTTCTTTGTGCTAGGTGTATGTGAGGGACAGTACTATGACAATTTTCCTTTACGATAATGTTTTAATTCTGGCAGTGGGCTGCTTTAGGGAATTGTACTACTTGGCAGCAGTTATTTTGTTGTTTCACCTGCTAGTCTGCGGTTTTGCTCCTTCTTTGTTAACTCTAAATTCTAAGAGAGCTATTGTGAGCTGTCCCGTACATTTTTCTTAGAAACATTTCATATGGTGGTGTTATTTCAGAAGTCTCAAAGAAAATTCCAGATTTAAGCAGCTGATTGAAGGACTGTTAGAAGCTATCAGTGCATTTGAGCTTGACACTGGAGTAAAATGTAAGTGCTGTGATTATTTATGGGAATAAGTAATATGTATTGTCTTGCGAAGTGTGAGAAAATATTTTTGTATCTTCTTTGTCTTTTCAGTTTTAAGCAGTCATTTTCCTAAAACACCCACAGAAGCTGCTAGTGCCGAGCTCCTGGGTAATAACCATTCTGTCATCCAGAGTAAGGGTTTCAGAAACAGGAAAATATCTGCTAAAGAAAATGGACAAGACAGCTATAACTTGGTGACTTTTTTTGTGCAATTTATTTTTTAATTGCTCTGCTGTTGTTTGTGGGTTTTTTTTACTTGGAATGTGTGTATACGTAGATGAATGGAATGGTTTTTGGTTTGCTCTCAGATCCCTGTTTTGCTTGAATATTATTCTAGATAAGGACCTCTTAATACTTCTGTCTTTGAAGTGCTGTTTATAGAAAATGAGTTGAGCTTGAAAAATATAATGTTACTGCAATAAATATATTGTCAAAACTAGGTTCAAAAGCTTTTTTTTTTTTTCCTCCTCTACAACTTGTTTGATAAGGCTGACAAATGAGTATTCCTAAAGGCTTTTTTTTTTTTTTTTTTTTTTTTTTCAGCTTTGGGTGATTGCTATGTGTATAGAATCATAAAATCATACAATGGTTTGGGTTGGAAGGAACCTTTAAGATCATCTAGTCCTAACACCCATGCTATAGGCAAGGACAGCTCTGTCTAGACCAGGTTGCTCAAAGTCCTGTCCAGCCTGGCCTTGAATGCTTTTAGGAAGAGGGCATTCACAACCTGGGTAACCTGTTTCAGTGTTTCATCATCCTCACAGTGAAGAATTTCTTCCTAAGTGTACCCTCTTCCAGTTTAAAACTATTTCCCCTTGTCCTGTTTCTACCTGCCCTTATAAAAAGTTCCTCCCCAACTTTTCAGCATGAGTCTGTTCATGATGCATTATTCATCTTTCTTACTTCATTTACCCGGTACCAGATAGGATATTAAGTATGATAAAATTGTTAATGATTGGAGCTTTGGAGGAGTTTGTAGTAAATTCCATTCCTGATTCGAGTATGATAAATTGGATATTTTAGAATTTTGTATTCAAAGAGGCTGTGCCCTATGCAGTTTAAGTAATTCAAATTTTTTTTTTTTAATAACCTACTGTTATTAATAACTATTTCATTCTAATCTCCTGTCAGCAGGAAGCTAATGTGGATCCACAGCTTACAGATAACAGAGTCGAAGAGCGTTACCTAACAAGCAAAAAACAGAAGCGTGGCATTGGAAGAGGTGTACTTATAGAGCTTGGTAAGAGCTGTAGCATGTACATACGTACCTTTTGAGCTTGTGTCTAACACTTGCAATGTAATGGAAGGTGTTGAAATTCAGTCTTTTTAAGCACTAATTTCTATTCAACACCTGAAGTGCAAACAAAGGAGATTACACAGACTAAACAGATTTACCAAAGGTGGTAAATAAAAGTACTTTTTATATGGTTTATTGCATTATAGGGAAAAATCCAAGGCTCAGTGTACAAGATCCAGAGAAGACAACTGCAGAAGTAAAATGTTTTTTATTACTAATAATGATTACTGCTGTTGTCTACAGACTAAGACTTGTTTGTTAGTACTTAGGGCCGTATTTCTTAAATATATTTAAGAATGATATGCGAGAAAATATTTCTACTTGTTCTGGCTTTTCAGGTATCCATTTCTACCTGATGCTGAGTGCTTCAAGAAATGATGTGATGTAGTAAATAGTTGTTCTTGGTTTATTTTTTCTGTTTCTTTCCCTGTTCCTTCAACATAGCAAGTGTTCATTTTAATAGGTAGTATTCATTACCTCGGTTTTTGGGTTTGTTTGTTTTTTTCCCCCTTTTTGTTTATGCTAATATCAAGCAAAGAATCTGAGACACATTGCTCTGATTTCTGGTCTTAAATTCTAGATGATGGCAGCTGTTTCTGTACAAATTTGGAAATTAGAACTGTTGCTAACTCCTATTTTATCAGTATTTATTGTACTTAAAAACATCATATCATGGATGTGATAACACAACTTTATATCAGAGTTGTATTTGCACATAAAAACTGTAATAATTAAAGTCAAGTGAACTTGATCTCATCTGATAAAATTTGAAAATGTCTACCTCTATAAAGAACTAAAGCATGCACACTTCTGTGATGATAAAAACTGAATCTGACAAGAAATCTTCCTCTGAATCATTCCAAAGAAGAGTAACAGCTAACTTGTTTTTAGGCACTGATTCCTCTGAAGAGCTTTTTATGCTGGCAAGCGATACTGGGTAAGTAGATGTTATTGAAGATTTAGTTTTTTTTTTTTTTTTTTTTTTTTTTTTTTTGAAAATAACAGTTCAGCATTCTTAACTGAGTTCTACCAAGGGTTAATCATGCATGATTGTCTCTACTCAGCAGCCTGATTTCTCCAAAAGCTACTTCCAAGAACAAAAAGGAGAAAACTTAAATACAGGCTCCTGTTACAACATAATGGAAGTTACCTCTGTAATGAAAGTAGGGTGCTGGCTTTGTTTCCTCCTTAAAATTCTCAGCAGGTTAGAAGACGAAGAAGAGCTAGAAGAATTTAAGAGTGCTGAGAAGTATGGAAGTTCTTGCAATACACAGTCACTCAAGCTGGGTGCTGAAGAAATAACTTTACCAGATGTCATAGGTATGTTTGTTATTTTAGTGACAAAAATATTGAGAGGAAAGCTTGAAAGTGAAGCCACAAGTTAGTATTTTGCTTTCACATTATTAAATGTACACTCTTGCAGTATTGTATTCTGTAGTTCTATTGATGCCTACTGCTAGTAACATTATAATATAAGGCAATGCCTGTAGACTACATGCTGGATGTGGATATTTTGTGTAGAGGCACAGAAGGATCTAAGTGCAAAGCTAATTCTGTTCTACATAAACCGTTATATTATCCCTCATAATGTAAGTTGAGATAAGTATCTAGTAATTCATGGAAGGAGTTGGATGAATGTATGTCATATGTAATTTGATATATATATATATATATATTTTTTTTTAACCTTTCTCTTGAGAGTGGTTTGTTCAGTGTAATATTGTGTTTTGGAGGGAAACGAGCAGTTCTTAAAATCAAAAGTTATTAAGCTTGTCGTTCTCATGCATTTAAAATAGGGCTTAATAATTTATAACATTTATAAATCTTCAGGTGAAACTGATTTCTTGAAGGAAGCTTTGAGCAAGAAAAGCATGCTGAACATCACTGAACATGTCAAATCTAACCACGTAAATACAATTGAGGGTCAGAGTTCTCCTTCAAATGTTTTTGATGCAGACCTACTCACAGAGCAGTGTGATGAAATAGGTAATGCCAGTCCCTTAAAGAATAATTACACATCTTTCTCTAATAATGCAGAAGAAATGGATGCAGAGGAATCTCTATGCAGTAGTAAAAACCAAGAGCTTGACTTTGAAGATGGCTCAGAAAGTACTCTGGATAAAATAAAAGATAAGGATATTTGTGTGCCAAGTGTGGAAGATGTAGAAATGTATGAACCCATGAATGATTCTTTACTTGAAAAAGAACTTCCTGTGGAGAAACTGCTTCAGCCGAAGATACCTCACTGTCCTACCCTGCATGAGGTCTCTAGAAAGAGACTGAAGCAAAGCATTCAGAAAGTCAATGAATGGTTTTCAAAAAGCAATGAGGTTCTATCTTCCAGTTCATTCCAGAATGATCCTTCTGAAGCAACTGATGCTTCAGGTGAAGGAGATATTTCTCTATCAGATAAAGATTCATGTATTTCAGAGAAGACCAACCCTATAGTAGATTCTGTGGAATTCGTACTGTTTGAAAGAAACAAGAGATGGCCAAAACAAACAACATATAGCATCAAAGACAAAATATTTGGGAAAACATACGAGAGAGGGAGGAAATTAAATCCCTCTACTATCTTGAGAGATGTTTTGCCTCCTACAAAAAAAGAAGATGCAGCTGCTGAAGAGGAGTGCTTGAATAATTCCAGAGAAGCCAGACTAAAACGAAAAAGGGAGCCTGCCCGTGTCCTTCAGCCTGAAGACTTCATTGAGAAGAAAGATCTAGAAGAGGCAGATAGATGCCCTCAGAGTATTAACTCCAGCCTTGAAGGTGCTGAGAAGAGAAAATGTGATGGAAATTCTGCTGTTAAAGAGAATCCCCTCCTTGAAAAAATAAAGGTTAGGATGCTAACAGAATTTGAGGAAGGAGGGTTACAGTGGAAAAATGCTATAGAAAAGGTGTCAGACATGCCCTTTGATGGACAGCTGGAACTGAGTAACTCTGATCAGAAGAGCACTAAGAATGCATGTTCTGCAGCAAAAGGATGCAGACGTTCAACTAGAACAAGGTGTGCTATACGTTTAGTAGTTGACAGAAATCCAGATTCCTTTGGTCCAGATGAGCCACTGATTGATAGCTATCCAAGCAGTGAAGAACCAAACAAAGTTGATTGTGAGCAAAGACAAGTCAGACGCAGCAGGAGGCTTCAGCTACTTTCTAAAGAGACAGGAAAAATGAGAATAACTAAGGAAGCAAGAAATTCTGACAATGGCCCAGAAGGGTCTGTCTTTGGAGTTGAAAGGAATGTGTTAGTTCACAATTCCCAGTGCAAAGACTTGAGGAAGCAGCAGGATATACTGAATTGCACATCACTCACTGATCGGAATGGTGCTGATCTGGTAGCAAATGGAATACGGATTAGTCCAAAGAATTCAGCTGATATAACGAAAAACAGAAGTCTCTTCAATCCTACGTTTTCTTGTCAGCATTCAAATTTTAATTCCCCTTCACTCAAAGCAGGTTCTCAAGAAGGGGAAATGCTAGGTAGACTTTTCCTCCTACAGTCTCCTTCAAAGACTGTTCTGGACACTGCTTCCATCCTGACTGAAGAGAAGAGGTCTGGGTCATGGACTGTTTTTCCCCAGGACAAAGGATGCTGTTCACAGAATGTTCCCGAGGACTTCAGAATTGAAAAGTCACCAATGGCTAAAAATGTTTCAGAATTGACCATGGAAACTGAAGACAGTGAGTTAGACATGCAGCATCTGCGAAATACATTTAGGAGTTCAAAACGGCAGTCTTTTAGTCTTTATCCTGCTCCCATGAAGACATGTACCACAGATGATGTTGAATCTGAAAAATTGAATACTCTGTGTCCTGATCAAGTAGAAAAAAGGCGTAGTAAATATTTTATGACAGAAAACTTACAAGAAAAGAAAACAACTGCAGAAAATTTGAGTAGTGTTTGTGAGAAGTTTAAGACATGTGAATCTGCTTGTGTTAGTCCTGTGTTGTGCTCTGTCAGCAATGCTGAACGTGTGCATGCTGTGGAGCATCAAGAAGATATTTTAAATGTTGCAAATCATGGGAATCTGACAACACTAGTAAGAATGTGTGCTGCTAGGAATGAAGGCAGAAACAGACCACAAGAGGGAGAGCAGGAGAGTGAAAAGACATTGTCAGCTGACATAGGGGTAGAAAGCAAATTGAGACTGAGTCCAGTTGGAAGCAATAGAAATCTCAGTGATCGGAGTCATGCAGAAGAGCGTGCTTTCCAAAGAACAGACCTGAACACAGTCAGTGAAACATACTTCAGTTCAGAAAGCAATCAAGTGGAAAATGCTGAAGTTGTTGATGGCAAAGCACCAATACAACGTTTTCAGCCCAGTCCAATGGTTTGCCCTACAGCTTGTCAACAAAATCCAGCTGAGTTCAACTGCAGAGTCACTGAAAAAAAAATTAGCAAAAAAGAGGAAAGTCTGATAAAGGGCAATGAAGAGCAAGTAATCCAAACTGTCAGCACAGGGTTGTCAGAGTATTTAGTTAGGGAGGCACTAGAAGAATCTCTTAAAGTCCACAGTGATTTTACGGATCTGTCTGAAACTCCTGATGGCTTACTGTGTTCTGACAATGATACTGAAGATAGTGCCAGTTTTTATGTAATTAATAGGAAAAACACATCTGCTGTGTTTGTAAAAAGAAGCGGTGCTGCCCTGGTGAACATAGTAAATGATTCAGTTGTTAGCTGTAAGCCAAGATCTGAAGGTATTCAGAGGTCTCGGAGAAGAGCCCAGAAACTGCAATCTTCAGATGAAGAATCTAGTGAGGATGAAGATTTACCATGTTTTCAGGAATTAATGTTCGGCAAATCAGTAAGCACACCTTTGCAGATCAAAAAACAGGTGACATCTGTGGTACAGTCTTCAGCAAATCCCAGCATGTTGCCTCGCAGTGAATGTCTTAATGAAAATAATGAACAGAAAACACTTGAAGCTGCCCTAAGCAATGAGTGTGTTTCACCAAGCCAGGAGTCAGAATGCTCTGTGAAGTTATTTTCTTCCCAGTCTAACATATCTGAAGAATCAGTTGATGGAGCACAGGAGCTGAGGAAGACTTTAACACAAATGAGCGCCATAAATAAGAGTAAGGAAGCTCTTCAAAGTTGCAGTGGAGGGCTGAAGAGAAGAAAAAATGACTCCAACGATGAGTACCAAGAAGATCCAAATATGGGGGCAAACCTAGGTACAAACCAAGATTTTTATCTCTGCAGCTGTGTTAGTAATATCATTGGGTGCTTGATGTTTGCATGGGAACTTTGTGGGCTTGCTTTTGTAAAGTAATGTGTCAGCTATGGACAATCAAACAGAACAGGAAAAAAATCGGCCCTTGGTGACTGATTTCCTGACAATTAGTGTGGTAAAATTCTCTGTTCGGAGAAAAAAATGAATAGACCAGGCCCCAGAGGACAGCTAGAATCTGTCTAGTGGGAGTTAATTTTTGACTGGAAATACTAGTGTTGCTATTGCAATGGCGAGGCTTGGATCTATCAGCAGAATTTCATAGAGTCTACCTAAGCTATTACTGCAGATGAAATGTTTGTTGAAATTGGCTGTAGAATTCTGAAGTAATTGTTTTGATATTTTTATGACTTAAGTATTTAGAACTCTCATTACTGTTAAAACCATTTACCTTGACTTCTGCTTATTTTGCCATAACTGTGGCATGATATTCTTTGGAATGTTCACTTGAAGTAGATCTTTGCTTCTCACTTAAGTCTTTCCCAACCTTCTCATTTTATCTTTACAGTTAACAGTTGGCTAAGAGGTCTGTGTGATAAGAGGAACTGTGGATGGTTATTGTTAGATTTTCTTTTCTAATTAACTTGGGTTTTCTTTCCTCTCTTTCAAGGTGAAGCATCTGGATATGACAGTGAAACAAGTCGTGTAGAGGATTCACATGAACCATTTTCTCAGGGTGAAATTCTTTCTACACAGGTAGTTTATGTTCAACATTCTAGAAGTAGTTTATGTACGTTTCTAGTATAATTGGCTAGTATGCATTCTAGGATATAAGCGAAAGCTGCAAAGTCAGTGCAGTGGGAGGCAGCTTTCAGTGTGATTCTTTGTGCAGCTGGGTTATATTCATAACCATAGTAAAGCATAATTAATCAAGAACTGTTGAACTGCTTCTATGCCATTATTTTTCCTACTGTTTTCCATGGTGACATTACATTCTAATGGATGCAACTTGTTATGTGGTATTGATTACAGTGCTTAATTGCAGGAGATGCTTGTTAAATTTCTGTACTTGACCAATGCTGGAAGCCTCAGATTTTCCTACATTTGTCTTTTTTTTTGATGGTGACTTACAATAATTGGTGATAATTTGAGAAAAGAAGACTGAGAGGGGACCTGATCGAGGTCTATAAGTATCTAAGGTGTGGGGGGCAGAATGGCGAGGCTGGACTCTTTTCAGTGGTGAGTGGAGACAGGACAAGGGGAAACGGCCGGAAACTGCAGCATAGGAAGTTCCACACCAATGTGCGCAAGAACTTCTTTACAGTGAGGGTGGCGGAGCACTGGAACAGGCTGCCTAGGGAGGTCGTGGAGTCTCCTTCTCTGGAGATATCCAAGACCTGCCTGGATGCCTACCTGTGTGACCTGGTGTAGGGAAACTGCTTTGGCAGGGGGGTTGGACTCAATGATCTCTGGAGGTCCCTTCCAACGCCTACAATTCTGTGATTCTGTGATTCTGTATAATATAGACCAGCAAATCAAGTCCTTATGTTTAGAGGCATAGAGTCTTTACCTTTTAAGGGTGAAGATTAAAAAAGCATTCAATATCAGAATATTATGGAATAGTACATATGTAAAACTTAAAAAGCACTGTTCATTGTACATTGATGCTCTTTTCAAATATTTTGTTTTGATACAGCACGTGTTCACTATTTGTTACGCTAAAAGCACTGTAGCTGCCTATTAAGCATGTAGTAACAAGTATTTCAAAATTATTCTGATACTTTACAAAGCACTTGAAAAAATTTAATCATGCTATTTAAAACTGGGTTTGCTAACACTGGCACAATTGTCTATCGCTTGCAGCAGAAGAATGCTATGCAGAATAACCTAAAAAAGCTACAAGAAGAAATGGCTGTGCTTGAAGCAGTGCTAAAGCAGCATGCAAGTCAGGACACTGAGGTATTGCCCTTATGTAGAGAACTGCCATATTCCAGTAGTGGAGGAACGCTTGGAATGGAGCAGATGAGACAAGAAACGGGTAAATAGCAAGGAAAACCTGGGATTCAAATCTATTTAGTGACTTATCATGCCTTTACTGTGTATGGTTTTTACTGTGGTTCTTTTGTATCTTGTTAATGTTTTAAGCTGAAAATAATCACAGTGTAATTAACACTGAGAGACTGGTTGGTTAGTCTTTAATCCACACTCAGTTAATAAGGCACATTGAATTGCATGAATTTACTGCAGTATGAGAATATTCTGTCAGTTCATAGAACAGATTTTGAAATGTGACATTGCTAAATCCAGTAAGCAAAACCACTATAGTTAACTACAAATAAAATGTTGGAGAATTAATTCAGCAAACTAATGATTAGTTTACTTCAGAGCAGAAAATTAATACAATTTTTTGTTTATGCTAGAATACAGATTTCTGGCTCATAAAAGCCTAAACTGATTAGTTATTGACAGTTTGTTACAAATTATGGGCACCTTCCAGCTGTCAAATAAATGCCGTTCTACTGCTTGTGAACACAGATATGGTAACATGGTATTCAATGTAACACACTAAATAGTGCAGTTTTGCTATTGGCTTGTTTAATACTCTGCTCTAGCCACATGATACATTAACTGAAATCTTACTTTTGTAAATGACAATATCTGAAATAGTGAAAAATAAGCAAACAAATAAGCACAGAAGATTACTCCCGCGTGTAAATTTAAAAGGTGACACAACAGCTTTCCACTATGAATGAAAGAAATGTGAGATTATTTAAAGGTTTATTTCTCTTCTCTAGAAAATGCGTCTGAGCATGACTCTGAGACCAAGCTAAGTAAGGCACCTGTTTTACCAGTTCTCTGCAGAAATGTGACCAGCAATCCAAATAGCTCTTCCTCCTCCGTAAAGCACCCTTGCCCTCAAACTGCGCAAACAACAAATAATTCTGCTGTAGCTCAGTGTGATAACAAAAGCAGTGTTCGAGTACGTGAATCAAAGAGAAATGTATGTTTTCCTACATCTGTATTGCACAGTGCAGCTGGGAAAGAAAATGCTGCAAGTTCAGGTACAACTTACAGGACAGAAATGTCAATTGTGGCATCCGGTCTGAACCAAAGTGAACATGTGAGTATATTTTGGAATGTTTGGAGACTCACTGTTAATAAACCCATTGATCGCTGTAGTCCTCAATATAGAGATTGGATCCTATAGAGGAAACTAATCTTACAGGAATTACTGTTTGTAACTACGGTAACCAAGTCAAAATTGGTTGGACACTCATAAAAAAAAAAAAAAATATGAAGACTGAGGCCTAAAAACAGCACTATGAAGCTTAGAGAAGTCTGAACATTTTAGGAGACTTTGTACTGTTTAGGAGGAAAATGTTATTCCAAAACATGTTTTGGAATATTTAGAATGTCTTGGCAAACAAATGCTGCGGTGCCTGCTCTTCTAAAGATTTCTAAAGTAAGATGCATACAAAGATCATAAACATCGACTTGTCAGCTTCATAAATACCATATTGTTCTAATGCAATCATATTGCTCAATTCGGGCCCACTATTGTTTAAATTTACAGTTATAATTCAGTCAGCTTTTGGAATTAATTTTCAATTAGTAAAAAAAAGCAAACAGTGTTTTTGTGTTTGTTTTCCAAAACTTACCTGGCTTGAGACTGTAATCACAAGGAATGAAACAATCTGCTTTCCTCTCAGTATTTATTTATAGTGTTTGGTGGTCTGTTGACAAAGTACAGTTGAGAACATTAGGGGAATTAGGGGAAAAAGGCTTTCCTACATCTTTATATTTGTTAGTAATCTTTTCAGAAATAAAATTGCAATTAGTAAGTACTAAAAATTTAGTTGTACTGATTTTTGTTCATTATTGTTTGCCTGTTAAGTAATGTTCTAATTTATATGG